TCTGGGGGGCCACCTCAACTGATGGCTCTAACCATTGGGGGCAACTGGGGGGGTTCAAAAATTACAGTCATACATGTCTTTAAAATATCATGGGTATTAAAATGCTGCTGTAACCTAAAGGCTGTTATGGGAAGGCTTTCCACTGTACAGATTTGTTCCCATTCAGCCTCAAGAGCATTAGGGTTGAGGTCATGGCTCTCTGCAAGCCAGTCATGTTCTGCCAATCAAATCTAGAAAAACATATTTCTCTACTTTTGCATGGGGAAGGATTCATATTGAAATATTAAGTTGCCTTCCCCAACCTATTACCACAAAGTTGAAATCCCATAGGTGTCTAAACTGTATGGTGCAGCATTAAATGCTCTCCTCTATGGAAATAAGGGGCCTTGCCCATATCATAAACAACAAACTACCTCCTAAAGAACCCAGAGTGCATGTCCACATACTTTTGGCCATATAACACATCTTGATGTTATCAAACATCACAATATGTCATGACACAAACAATTAGCACATTAGGAAGTTTTGAGAAAGAAAGGCATTAATGTGTTGATTTGATGGCTGGTTTGTTGCTCAAGGCACCTCACTTAGGTCAAACACAGTTTACCTCCATAATGAGGCCTTTAAGACCTGGAAAAGCAAATTTAAGCTACTGCATCATGAGCTGACTAAACAAAATCTGATTGTGATATCTGTTAACTAGCTTGCACTGTAAGACTCTAAGAAGGATGCTATCAGCTAAGTGCTACAGTATCTATATAATGAACTGTACATTCACAGGGGGAGCTGTCATATGATGGACATGGAATACGTGTGTTTGACTTTCTGACCCAGAGATCCACAAAGCACACTGCACCCATTAACATCCCCAGGCAATTTAGCATGAGTGGACGTGGTGGCGCAGACTACCAGCTTATAGATGCCTTTATTTCTGCTGTGGCGGTGAGTGCTTATAAGCATTATATATTTTTTTTGTACCTGTGGGAGAGGCACTGATGCAGGAGTTAAAGGATGTATAGAATTTGGAGACCATAACTGTATGTGTGTGTTTGTGCACGCAGAACAACGATCCCTCCCTGATCCGATCGGGTTCCGAGGAGACACTGCTCAGCCATTTGCTGGTGTTTGATGCTGAGCGTTCACGACTAGAGGGCAGGGTTGTGTACTGTGGTACCACCAGCCAGAGCTAGATGACTCAAAAACACTGACATTATAATGATCTCTCACCTTAAAAATCAAACACTATGATAGTCGATGATTCAAAGGCCAAATCTTGGAGTGTAATCAAATTCATCTTTTTCATGGGTATTAATACTGTGCGTGACAGAATGAACGGTACATGTACTGTCAACAACTTGATCATTATTTGTTCAGCATAATGTCCTTATTATGCCTTATCAATGAATCTTGCACCAGAGTTGCTATATACTGTATAAGTAATAATATAGAACAGTTTTTTTCTTTTCTTGTTTTTTCCGCTTGAGATAATGGATAGATTAGTTTGATAACATCATTTATTATATGGCCAAATGTATGTGGACACATACTTGAGGGTGTCAGCTATGTTTTATGATTACACTATTCTTCTTCTTATGTAATTCATAATTGTTTATATACTATTGTATCATGTTCTAATCAGTGTTTAAAATTATTGTTTCTCTTAGAATAAATAAGTAACAACAGATCAACCTCTGTTTTTTGAAGTATCATTTTTTAAACACAAGGTGTCACTAGTTTATATGATTAGGAATAAACACTGGAACAGGGTGACAGTGGTCCGTTGTGTTACTTTAGAACTAGCAGGCCTCAAAAGTCTGTGTAATATCACAGTAATAATTATGAAACATATAACGAGTGTTAAGAAAAGGCTTGCAAAAACATGCCACAGCAAACCCAGGTATAATAATATGCCATCTGGTTTGTATTTGTTCACATCATTACCCTAGTTTATAGATTCAAAATAATGTGCTCCAGTCACAACTCATTTTATGCTCAAAACACAGAAAGTGGTTCATAGTCACCTTTGCTGTGGTTGATAGCCTGTTTATGTGTAATAGACAATGTTCAGGAAAACCTTGAAGTTGCAGTACTCTGAGATTTCTTGTTCCCTTTTGCTCCTTTCTTTGATGTACTGAGCCACGTCCTTACCATTCTGGTCCATCAGCATCCTCTGTTTTTCCATGACTGTGTAGCCATATATACACAGCACACTGGACAGTTATACATAGTGGATGTACTTTATCTTCATGGATCTAAGATGTTAGCTATGGAAAATATGCAGTGTATTACTAAAAAGTAAGCAGACACCTTAAAGTATGCCCTTTGGTAAATGAAGTCTAATCTGGTTGTTATTATCATGTCGTTGATTAAATATTAAGACACTTTAGTAAGGTTGACTATCAACCTGAGCAAGTGTTGATACAGCCTCTGCTTTGAATTTACTATTCAAAAAAGCTGAATGGGAGTGCAACTGACTCTTTCTAAGCACCACTGTCTAAAATATAAAAATAATATATACTATAGTTTACCTGGTATTAAAAGCTTTGGTGCATTTAGTCATCAGGCAAACAAATATCCTCCTGAATTGCATGTAGCTCTCTTCCCAAAGCTCCCAAGCTTGTGGATAATGTTTAAACTTCTTTGTAAACCAATTCTAAAGCTGTTTGTGATTTCAAGATTTACATTAGGAATGGAAGCATCATTCTGTTGCTTCTTCTTGAGTATTACCCCCATTGTTACATCTCAATAGAGCACAAAAGTGGTAAAATGCTAATTTAAGAACTGACTGAATAACTGTTAGCCAAGCCTACTTTTACCAGCTGAGAGTTAAGATCCATGAACTGTTTCTTCTCCATTTGCAGCATTTTCAGTTCCTCCCTCAGCTGTCCATTCCTCATCATTAGTTCACTAATGCACTGGTGACCCTAAAACTGAAACATACAATACCTTCAGTCATCCTTGCATTTACTAGTAACAAGTATTTGGTGTTGTGTAAGCTGCTGTTATGAGATTTCCAACTGTGTCAGGAGCTCCTCCACCAGTCCCCTGTGCTGGCAACTTCCTCTCCCACTCCAAAATCTGAAAACAAAGCCAACAATAGGGTCAACTGTGATAAGAAAATTGAGAATTCATTGCGCAGCATTCTGTGAACGGTCCACAGTAAACATATTTCACCTGTTCTTTCAGAGATGCCACTTTGTCTTTTTCGGTCTTCATCTCATCATCTATTTTGTCTCCAGAGGGCAGCATGGCAGTAAGATTCTGAACAACACTAGCGTCAGTCCAGCGGTTAGAAAAAGTCTGAGAGACTCCAAGACTGAGTGAAAGCTGAATAAAATAAATGTAAAGAAAAATGACATCTGTGGGCAACAATTATCAATTACCGTATTTTCTGCACCATAAGGTGCACCGGACTATAAGGCGCAGTCTCAATTACGGGGTCTATTTCTGTACTTAACCCATACATAAGGCGCACCGTATTATAAGGCGCATGCTGAAACGTAACGGAAGCAAAACAGTGAGTTTAGTTGAACTTTATTCTACTATTTAACAATACACTCACATTATTTTTTAATCAATCTTCTCCCACAAATACACTTCCGAACCATAGATTCATTGATTTTGAATTCTTTCGCAGCTGCTCTATTCTCATTTACAACCGCGTAACTGATAGCCTGTAGTTTGAATTGTGCCTCGTAAGCATGTCTCTTCACTGGTGCCATTTTCGGGGGTCCTTAGACCGGTTTAGACTGGTTTATCGCTGCCAGCGTACGTAGTGTACGTATTACGTCCCTGTGTCAGTGGGAAATGGTCCGACAGTCAATCAAGCGGAGCGCTTACCAAAGTCGCACAACAACATTTTTACAGATTTTGGAACTCAGTGCACACATAAGGCGCACCGGATTATCAGGCGCACGGCCGATTTTTGAGAAAATTTAAGGCTCTTAGGTGCGCCTTATAGTGCGGAAAATACGGTAGTAAAATTAATACATTTTGTAGAAACTCACACAACTAACTAGCAATTAATGTTACTGTCCTAATTAAAATTTTGGTTGCTTTGAATTTGTTATAATAATAAATTTAAAAAATCATATGTGACATCTTTCCAAAAGCAGCTGCTGATTTGTTTTAAATCTTGTTTTGTTTGTTGTTGTTTTCAGTGTGGCTTAAAATATAACCATCAGTTTTATTGTAATTAAACGACTTAAGTTATGTTAGGTAACTAATGTCCATACACAGTATACTGACTCATACTGCTTCACCCGTTCCTGGATCTTGCAACACATCTAGGTGACTAATTCTGGAGTGTGGCCCAAAGTCCATACTCTCACATGGCTCTCACTGTGTTGATAGTTGGAATGACACAGCTGT